CCCCCCCACCTGGGGCGGAGCTTCTGGGTGTCTGCCCCCCCCCACCTGGGGCAGATCGTCTGGGTGGCTGGCCCCCCGCATCTGGGGCAGATCGTCTGGGTGGCTGGCCCCCCCTTCCCCCACTTCCTGCTGCACCCATCTCGCTGACTGTCCATCAGACTGTAGAGATGGTAACTGCCCTAGTTAGGTATTGCTAGGATGAAACGCCAAGACCAAAGGCAAGGGGGGAGGAAAGGGTTTATTTGGCTTACACTTCCACATGGATGTCACTGAAGGAACTCAAACTGGGCAGGAACCAGGAGGCAGGAGCTGATGCAGAGGCCACGGAGGGTGCGGCTTACCGACTTGCTCATTTGCTCAGCATGTTTTTGTTTTGTTTTTTTGAGACAGGGTTTGTCTGTGTAGTTTTGGTGCCTGTCCTGGAAATTGTTCTGTAGACCAGGCTGGCCTCGAACTCACAGAGACCCGCCTGGCTCTGCCTCTTGAGTGTGGGGATTAAAGGCGTGCGCCACCACAGCCACCTGGCTCAGCCTATTTCTTGTAGAACTCAGGACCACCAGCCCAGGGATGGCTCCACTCAGTGCTCTGGACCCCGCTCAAACCAATCACTAATGAAGAAAATGGGTTGGGGGAGGGGGCAGGGAGGCGGGGGATGGAGTGGGAGGAGAGGATGAGGCTGCAGTTGGGATGTAAAATAATAAATAGATAAATAAACAGAAAAAATAATGAAGAGTATGTCCTATAGCCAGATCCTCTCTCGGTCGAGGGTCCCTCCTTTCAGATGACTCTAGACTGTGCCAAGCTGGCGTCATCAGCCAGCAGAGTCCGGCTAATGGAGCATCACGGAGAGGCCCCAGCACAGGGTCTACTCTGTCACAGCCCTCCAGTGTTGAGGTCCTTCTGATGTGGAGGCACTATACTGTCAGGTGACCCCCCACATATGTTCACTGGAATACTTTAAACGTGGGTGACAAAAACTGCCAATGCGGCCCAGCAGGATCCGTAAGTGAAAGTGTGAGTGTGCAAGCCTGACTACCTGAGTGTGACTCCAGAGGCCACAGTGGAAGAAGAAAACCGCCTCCCCAGAGTTATCCGCTGACCTGCACACACACGTACCCAAACTTACACACACACACGAAATTAAAAAAAATCCCAAGTGTGATTTCTATTCCTGCATCCTTTCAGAAATAACTGTGAACGAGCGTATCAGCCCAACAGGTTCATTCCGGATCCCAACCCCAGGCCCCCATCTCCCCGCTGCCTGCCACTTCCACCCCACCCCCGCCCTGTGCTGAGGACTGACCCCAGAGCTGGTTGGTACCCATAGGGCTTTTACTGCTGAGCAACATCTCCTGCCCCTAAGACCCCCACGTTTAAAGACTCTGGAGGAGGGGCAGTGAGGGGGCCCAGCCTGGAATATGAGAGAACCCATCTCAAAAAACCAATAACCCAACCACAAAAAAACAGGACCCTAGGCTTAACACGAACCTCAGTAAAACAGCTGCTTAGCATCTGCAAGCTCTGGGTTTGATTCCCAGAGCAACACATAAAGCAAAATAAAATTGCAGGGCTAGGGTATATAGCTCAATGGAGAACTGGCCTCAAACCCCAGCACCACACACAAAGCAAAAAAAGACACAAGACAAAACAAAAACAAAAGCCAACCAAATAAAAAAGTTATAAGGTAGACATGGTATAGCTATCCACGTCTATAATCCAGCCCTTGGGAGGCTGAGGTATTGAAACTCCTCAAATTCAAGCCCAGACTGGACTACATGTTGACTTCCAAGTCAGCCCCTGCCTCAAAGGCTTTGTTTCAAGCTGGTTTGAAAAAAAAAGGAAAAAAATTGCACATAATCTCAACTGGGTAGTAAGGCCTAACTCAGCCTAACTCAAAACATCCGAAATAGATGAGGGCCAAAGAGAAGCTTCATGGGTAAAGGTGCTTGCTGCCACAGGTGCAGATTTGTTCCATGCCCAGGACCTACCCAAGGGCGAAAAGAGAGAACTCGACCACCGTCCTCTGTGTGTGTGTGGGGTCTGCATGCCCCACACCGCGGCCCTCTGTGTGTTTGGGGTCTGCATGCCCCACACCGCGGTCCTCTGTGTGTGTGTGGAGTCTGCTGCCCCACACCGCGGTCCTGTGTGTGTGTGTGGGGTCTGCTGCCCCACACCGCGGTCCTCTGTGTGTGTGTGGGGTCTGCTGCCCCACACCGCGGTCCTCTGTGTGTGTGTGTGGGGTCTGCTGCCCCACACCGCGGTCCTCTGTGTGTGTGTGGGGTCTGCATGCCCCACACCGCGGTCCTCTGTGTGTGGGGTCTGCATGCCCCACACCGCGGTCCTCTGTGTGTGTGTGGGGTCTGCTGCCCCACACCGCGGTCCTCTGTGTGTGTGGTCTGCATGCCCCACACCGCGG